GCAGCCCTCTCCTTGCATCTCACAAGTTGTTTCAATCCAATTATATTTTTGCAAACTTCAGTCTTCATGTGATTTATTTAAGAATAAACTATTTTACTTTAGAACTTTATTCTAAAATAACAACATTTACTTTTTAAGGAAATATATATTAAGATACCACAATCTTGCAAGTGTAGAAAATTACTAGTCAATAAGGCAATTACTGCTTTGTGAAAGAGTTGTTTGACATCATCAGTGCTTTTTAACTTTTGTCTCTTTGAAACCAGATAATAATTTCATTTTATTTTATTTATTATTGTTACTTTTGTACTGGAGATTGAACTCAGGGTTCTTAACTACTGAACCACACCCCCAGCCCTTTATATTTCTTAATTGGAGACAGGGTCTCACTAATACTTTTAATATTTTTTAATTGTGGCTTTTAGACTTAGAAGGGAACTTAGAGGCCATGTGGTCCACAAAGAACATAAACCTTTTTGATAACTTCACCAGTAAATTTTGTTTTGTCTTCTGGTAGCAGTCTGATTTCTTAGCATGCCACTTTAGAAAGTAGATTAAATAAAGGACATTTGATAATTATTTCTTCTCTCTAGGTATGGTGATGGGTCCCAGGGGCATTTTATCACTGTTATACCCCCAGGTCTTTTAATTTTTTATTTTGAGATAGGTCTTCACTATATTGCCCAGGCTGGCCTCAAACTCAGGATCTTTTTGTCTCAGCATCCACAGTAGCTGGGATTACAGGCAAGAACTGTTACACCTGGCTTGATAATTATTTGTGTTCATTTTCATCTTGCTGTTTCTAACGAATTTGTCTTTGACTTTGGGGATAGTTTTTAATTGTTATGCTGTTATCTGTAGTATTTACATATTATTTTTATTGTTATGATAATTGAAAACTTGAGACTTTTTGAAGTACCTTTTTTGAATTCTTTTAGGCTATTGAGAAGAGGCTGATGATGGTTCTGAAGACAGTTGCTTCGATTGCTGCTGCCAGGTTGGCTCTGGACATTCAATTAGTCTCCCATCTAATCTGACTTTGATAATGTTGCCCTCAGATCTCTGTGGGAGATTTATTAGAAACTTGTAGAGGATCCAAAGCAAGAGGCCAGGAGGGGTTGGGAAGGAGGGTTAGATAACAGGTAAGATAGAAGGAACAAGTTCTAGTGTTTCATAGCACAGTGGGTAACTGTAGTTCACAATAACATGTTACATTTTAAGGAGAACTAGAGAGAGGAGCTCAAAGACTCCAAACACAAAGAAATAATAAGGAAATAGAAATGCTTATTACCCTGACTTGTTCAGTACATGTTTAATATGTGTTAAAATATTACAGTGAACCCCATAAAAGGTTTTAGTATTATATATTCATAAATTTAAAAAAAATAAAAATAATGTTCTACAGACACAGGAATTAGCCATATTTTTGAGTCAGTAGAAAAGTTTCTTCACTAAATGTCATCTGTTCCAGGGTATACACGTCATTGGACTTGTCTTGCTCCTATTTGTCGTGTTTCTCTGGAAGTGTGTCTGATAATTCCTTTCACCCTTCTCCATAGAATGTTAAGGAGGAGGAGCCACCTTGCCATTGTTGGTAAAGAGTGGTTTGGCTAATGGTAGAACAGATGGCAGTGGGGACATCAGATTGTAAATATTGAGCCCAAGTTCATTCTCCCTGTCTATCCTTCAAAGCTCTACTTTGGGAGTAGAATTCAGAGACAAATTGAGAAATGAAGGGTGGTAGAAAGTAGAGATTTACCACTCTTTAGTGTATCAATAAGATTGCCTCATCTATCTCCTCTACGTAGTTGAGTTTGGTTTACAAAAGTAAGAGACATTAGTTTATTTTACTAGACAGCATTTATCCTCGATACCAAGGCCATAGGTTTTATCTTGGGAGAGACCTGTTCTTAATTTCAGTTTTTATAGACTTTGATCCTAACTCTGACAGTCAGTTTGCCTGAAATTGGTCAGGCTCAAGAGTATTAATGAATCAATACCACATCTTTCAATGTAACTGAAACATTGAAAAAAATTCAGAAGCATATGTTCCATTAATAGGAGACAAAAATGTATTTATATGGGAATGATAAAGTAATAAAAGTTATATGTCTGCCTATTTCATTATTGTAACATGCTGCTGAAAACTGGAACTGAAATATTTACATAATCAATAAACAAATATTGTCGTGAACTACCTTAAACTTTTTGTAGTGTCTCTGCATAGATATTAATTAGAATGTGAATCTTCAGAGCTCTTTGACTGCTTGATCCATAGCCTTAGTAGAGCTTAAAGTGTAATTTTTGGCAAGTATTGCAATATTTCCATTAACCAGGCTATTTTTTAATGGTCAAAGATAGTTTTGGAATTAATAGTTTCCTAACAGAATTCTACCATGTACACAAATGTATATAAATAACCTAAGCATAAAAATTATTGTATATTGACTTATATATTCTGATGAATGTGTGTGTGTTTTTTTTTTTTTTTTTTTTTTTTTTTTTTGTATTTTGTCAAGACAGGAAGTGAAGTCAAATGGATATTGGTGAGTTCTCTGCAACAGCAGGTACCTCACTTTATTGGTTCAGAGTCAGCCGTAATTTGGAAGCCTTCTTTAGGTAAGAAAGTCTCAAAAAAGAAACAACGTATTTCTTTAGCTTTAAAAAGAAATGATCTTCTGTTAAATGATTCTACATGTATAGGCTAGAATTTTTATACCAGGGTTTTCAAGGTAATAAGATCAATTTGTTCTGCATTCTAAAATATATTTTATTGATGCACATAGCTATAAATTTGTTTTTATGAAGCTTATAATTTTTGGATGAAAATTAATGCAACAAGGAAAATGAAATCAAAATGTTAATTTTACTAAATTATTGGTATTACTATCATATCCTTTAATAGTTTATGGTGATTCTTCTATCATTAAATTGGTAATTTAGTGATTTTTTTTGGTACTGGAGATTGAACCCAGGGGCATTTAACCACTGACCACATCCCCAGCCATTTTTAAAGTATTTTGTTTAGGGACAGGGTCTCACTGAGTTGCTAAGTGCCTCACTAAGTTGCTAAGGCTGGCTTTGAACTCAAAATCCTCCTGCCTCAGCCTTTTGAGCCACTGAAATTATAGTTTTTGGCTACCCATGCCCAGCTAATTTAGTGATTTTTATCCAATAATTTTAACCATCCATGTTACATAAATTATATTTAAATATATAACACAATCCTGTTTAGAGAATTACAAAGTGGTTTTCTAACCTGCCTTTGGGTGAAGTCTTTGTTTTATGTTTGGCTTCACTGATTTTCTGGTACAGGATTCTATTAGGGGCAACTTTTCTTTGGTAATAATTTAGTGAAATTTTAACTATGTATTCTGTAGGTTGCCAAATGAAACAGTACAAGCAAAATGTTAATGAGTGTTCTCAGCATCTGAATTTAGAATCCAGCTTCTATACCTTTACATTACTATTATAGATAACTAGCATTAAAGAGTAGATTAGTAACATTTGCTTTGAACTATTGATAGTCAGCAGTTTCATGTATTTTACATTGAATTGCTAGTTTCAAAGTTGTGCATGTAACTAGTTTAGTCAAACTAAAATATATATAGTAGCTTTTCTGATGCTTGGGATATAGCTTTGCAACTATTTTTGTTTCTCGTTTTGGTTTTCCAAACCCTAAAGATAACTTCATTTTGTTTAGTGACTTTATAGGTCAATCCTGCTTCTGGGATCCAACTCTATGTTGTGGTTAAGAAATGTTTCATATCAGACAGAGTGACTCACAAGACAGATATATTTACACATTAAATAACTATTTCATTAGATTTAAAGGTATGTTTCAATTATGAAATTGAATCTTCTATATATAGAGTTCTAACTTTGAAGGGTAAAAGAAATGATTAAATAGTTAACTAGAGTTAAATGCAGTTCAAAACCACCCTTACCATTATTTTGCCTTGTAAATAATTGTATACTTGAGATTCTCAGGTAAAGTATATGTAGAAAATGACCATATATATTTAGATATATCTGAACTTCAAATTTGTTGTAACTTAGTTGCATCCCAAGCTGGCTAATACCTAGAGATCCAGCATTTCTTTTTGTGGGGAGTGAAGAACACTTGCTCACTTGCTGTTTATCTTTGACTGAAGAGGATCCGATGTATTACTTACACAAAGACTCTGGCCCTGCTGTATGCATCTTTCCTAGAGCTTGTGTGTCCCAGCTGTCATCTGAAAATTATTGTAGACTATTTGACTTTTTGTTAGAATTGTACTTTGACATAGAAATAAAAATAGTTCAGAAAAATGGAATTTTAATATAGCAATACAGACTGCAATACTTATTTGAGCACTTACTGTTTGCTGCCACACTAAGTGCTTTAATCCTCACAACAATTTTATTAGCTGGGTATTGCTGTAATCCTTGTTTTGCAGCTGAGAAAACTGAGGCTTCAAGTAATTATCTCTGACAAGATTACTGATTAGTGAGTGGCATAGCTGAGACTTATCTAGACTTACACTTTCAATTATGTTGTCCTGTCTTCCAGACCTCTCAGGAGTTCTTAGCAAAATTGCAGTGTGATGCTTCCTCCTTTATAGGAGTAGTATGATACAGTAATTGACCAGAAAAAAAACAAAAACAGAAACAAAACCTGAGATATATGCTGCTTCCTTAGATGTTTTCTCTTGGAAGCTTCCTCAACCACTTCTCCCACATGCAAACTCAGTCAAAGTCCATTCTCTTTTCTTCCATTGTGTCTTGTTCCAACTTCAGTCATATACTTTATCAATGCTTTTCCCCATGTGATCATAGCTTTGAGAATAAATTTACACTTATTTATCTCTATCCCTAGGGCAAAGCAGCATTTATCAATGCATGAAAGTGGAATATTATTACTAAAATTGTGTTACTATTTTCATTTTATAATATGAGTCTGTACAATTAAATTGCAAATAGTTGATAGAAATGTGAAAAAGATCAAACACTTAACATTTTCTAATGTTTACAGAATGAAGAGGAACAATTTCTCTGTTGTGAATAAAATTGTCCAGTCTTCACCTGCAGTGAAACAGCCCAAACTTGGGTTCTGCTCTTCTCTAAAACAGACTCAAGTGTCCACTGTTGTTCTCGACTGGGGGAGTCTGCCTCACCATGTGGTATTACGAATTTTTCAGTATCTTCCTTTAATAGATCGGGCCCGAGCATCTTCAGTGTGTAGGAGATGGAATGAGGTGTTTCATATTCCTGACCTTTGGAGGAAGTTTGAATTTGAATTGAACCAATCAGCTACTTCATATTTTAGGTCTACTCATCCTGATCTCATTCAGCAGATCATTAAAAAGCATGCTGTACATCTTCAGTATGTCAGTTTTAAGGTAAGAAAAATAAGCATTATAGAAAAACTGGCTTATATGCTGTGTTAGCTTTTTGTTTGCGTATTTCATTTTTTGGTGATTTATAATTACATATAATAGTGAGAATCATTTTGCCTTATTTGTACATGCATATAACATAATTTGATCAATCTCATTCCCAAGTACCTTCCCTTCCGCTCTTCTCTTCCCTCTCCCGTCAGCTTGCTCTACCCATCCATTACTACTATTGTTATTTTAATTAGTGTGTTATAAAAAAATAGAGAAATGCAGAATTCATTATGGTATAGTCGTACATGACATGGATATAACATAAATGGTAGATTTTGTTTTCTAGTTCTTCCCCATGTCCATCCTTCTCTCTCCATCTCAGTTTCTTCCCTCTATTCTGTTGGTCTTCTATTTTTGTGAGATTACCCCCTCCTTTTTTTTTCCTTTTTTATCTTCTCTCTCTATCTATTGCATATGAAAGAAAACATTTGAATCTTGACTTTCTAAGTGTGTATATTTCACTCAACATGTTCTCCATTTCTATCCATTTACTTTAAAATAAAATTTCATTCTTCTTTACAGGCACCTAGGCTAATTCCATAACCTGGCTATTGTGAAATGTGCTGCTATAAACATTGGTGTGCATGTATCACTATACTGTTTAGATCTTCTGGATAAATACCAAGGAATGGGATACCTGAGTGGTTCTATTCCTAGTACTTTGAGGAATCTCGATGCTGCTTTTCAAAGTGGTTGTACTAATATGCATTGCTTCCAACAAAGTGTACCTTTTCCCCACCTCCTCGCCAGCAATTATTGCTCTTTGTACTCTTGATGTCTGCCTTTCTAACTGGACTGAGATGAAATCTCAGTATAGTTTTGATTAGCATTTCCCTAATTGCAAAGGATGTTGAACGTTTTTTTTTTTTTTCATATATTTGTTGGCCGTTCATATTTCTTTTTTTGAGACTGTTTACATTCAGAGTTATTGTGAAAAGATGTTTATTATTTTCTGTTACTTTCATTGATTCACATATTTAATTTGGTCTTAATTTTCATTTGCTTAATTACTAGCAAGCTTCATCCATTTGAGGGCTGTGGGGTTTGTTTTTGAGTTTTTTTGAGTATAGTTTAAAGTAATTTCTGTTGTGCTGGCATAGTGGTTATGAATTATTTTAATTTATCCTTATTGTGAAAAGTTTTTATTCTTAAATTATGAATGATTGCTTTCCTGGATATAATAATAATGGTTGGTAATTGCTTTCTTTCAGAGCTTGGATTACCTCATTCCAAGCCCTCCTGGATTTGAGAGTATGAGCTGAGAAGGCAGAAATGAGCCTTATTGTTTACCTCTGCATGTGTGACTTAACATTTTCCTCCTGTGACTTTAATATTTTATACTTATTCTCTGTTAGGCATTTTGATGTGCCTTGGAGGTGTTTTTTTTTTTTTTAAATCTATTTGAGGATCTATTTGCCTCATATATGGACGTCTATCTTATTCCTAATATTTGGAGAATTTTCTGCTGTAATTTCATTGAAAATGTTCTAAATGCCATTAGCCTGTATCTCCATGCCTTCTTCCCAATCTCAATGACTCTTAAGTCTTTTAATGTTTTTCCAGAGTTCTTGTATATTATTTTTTAAAAAAATTTCTTTTAGCGTTGTAAATGGACAGTTGTAGATGTGCCTTATTTGATTTATTTATTTTTATGTGTTGCTAAGCATCAAACCCAGGGCCTCACATATGCTAGACAATATACAGCCTTAGCCCCAGTTCTTATATATTCTGACTATGTTCTTTTTTTCTTACTGGATACTAAGTATTCAAGTTCACATACCCTTTCTCTGAGGCCTGAAGTTCTGTGGATTTATTGTGTTTTTTTTCATTTCCGGGATTTCTGTTTGGTTTCATTTCAAATCTTTTTCTCTTTATTGAAATGGATTTTCTACTATTGTGTTTGCTCTCTTAATTCATTCCTTAGGTCTTCTTTTGTTCATTAATCATTTTAATAATCAATTTTTGTAATTTTTTTTGGAGTTTTATCCCCTTTAGTATGTATGGATTCCTTTGTTGGGGGATTATAATTTGGAGGAAGCCTTGTGTGCCTATTTCCTTAGATTTTTTAGAGGTCTTAGACTTGCACATCTGTTAAGATGGATTCCTCCTTCTTTTTTATGAGAGGATCCTTTAGTATGTAGTTATCTCTTTTGGAATAAATCCTGGGTTGTTGGTATATCTTAGCTTCAACACATAGGCTCAGTGTATTCCATGGGTTAATTTCAACTGCCAGTGCCTCTCACTTTGCCTCTACTGAACTGCTGATTTAAGTCACTCTTGGAGAGCTGCTGTAATACTGTGGATTCCTCTCAGTCATCATTTTGAAACTTCTCTGGTTTTACTGTAGGAACATATGTCCAATAGTGAAATCTGAGGGCTACCCTCTGTCCATTCCTGCTTGGTACCTGGTTGTTAATTGTGGGTTGTTGTCTCTCCTCTTCTATGTGTTAAAGTATCATTGAATCCTGAGTGGACTTAGATTATATGTGAAGCAAGATACACTGTCACTTGGCTGGATTGTGGATATAGTTCAGTAGCAGAGTCTCCACCCCCTGAACTCAGTTGTATCTCAATCACTTCCCAGAAAGGCGTGAAACAAAAAAACAGCAGGAAATGTTATACAGCATTAAAATAAATGTCTGTTGCCTACTATGACATCTACAACAACAATTACCACAAAAATAGGAATAACAGGGTCAGCAGTTAACAATAAGTAGTCATAAACTAGATCTAGCATTAAAGTAAACAGCAGGTGTCAACTGGCCATCCACAGGACTAATACCTGCAATGATGTGAATGGTGAGGACAGCAATTACATAAACTAAATATAAACTAGTTCTAAAAGATGACAAAATTGCAGTTCATTAAGAGAAAAGAAAATGAGTATGAAGGCAATAGAAAGTTTAAAATATTCAGAAAGTGAACAGAGGAGGAGAGGGGCAGCAAGTGACAGCTATAACAGAAGAGTAAAGAATAACTAAAAGAAGCAGAATAGTGAACAAGAGATTAGCTATTAAATGGAGGAGAAAGGGTAACAAGAAAAAAAAAGCAAAAGCAAAAACAACCAAATGAATTTAAAAATCAAAGCAAAACAAAAAATCAGGACAGTTCTGAATGAGAATTTCCAGTGGTGGGTTTGGAGATTGGCTCTGACCATACCTTTGGAATTTTGTCAGGTGGTATCTGCTACAGAGAAATTGGATCCACACAACCTGGAGCTGGGCAGATGCTGATCTCTGCTGGGCTTCTGAATCTCAGGGGCCTCCAAAGAACTCCACTCACAGGGCAGGATGACTAACCCTCCACAGGTCTTGCAAGGTGGTTTTTCCTGGATCAGATTATATAACTGTACCTGCCTCTCCAGCTTCTGGATTCTCCCCAGCTGGTCATGTGAGCTGCCAGACACAAAGTGAAAGTGAGCCACACTCCCTCAGTATCCCCACCCTGAATTGCCATGAGCACAATCCTCTCTGTGTCCATTTCAGTTGTGCCCCTCCAGGCATCATCTAGGCCCCACAGCAGCATGGCAGTATTTCTTATGGTCTTCTGAGCTCCCATAGCAGCAAGCCTAGCTTGCCTGCCTCAGGATGGCTCCCTGCCTCAGCTCTCCACTCGCCAATCCAGAAACATGGAGTACTTTTTAAACACACACCCTGTGCAGCTCTGGTTTAGCGGAGTTCAGACCACTTCTCCATTCTGTTGGTTTTCCCACACCTAATTTGTTCACTGTGTTTCTTTGTCGCTCTGCCTGTGTCCTCGTTCCTTCAGTGGTGAACTGGTGCCACTGGCCTGGCTCCTAAGTGATTTTTCTTGTCCTTTGTGCAAAGCACATGAATTTCTATGTTTCTATCATTCTCTTACTGTCTCATATTGAATTTCAGTGAATTCCCTTTGTCACCCACCTCCTGAGAAGTAGTACTCTGGCTGCTTAACTCCAGAACCATGGAGCAACTGGAAAATCACCTTCTTCTAATCTGATCTTTTCTTCTACCTGTTAACAACCAACACCCATTTTGTATATCTAGATCCTTCTCTGGAAGTACTTTGAGTTTTGCAGAAATTTTAATCTCAAAAATTTTCAAGTTTTTCTCTAGCTACTGAGTAGATTGAAATATAGCACTTGGATTATAACTGACTAACTTAAACCTCAGTTTTCTTCATTTGGATGCTATTATTGAAATTCAGGTAATTATAAAAGATTTGAAAATATGAACTAGTTGGCAAGTTGATTTGTCATTGCATCTGTTTCTTACTTTTTAATCTGAGACATTTTGTATAAAGAAGTATTCATCTGTATTGATTAAATGGATAAATAAAATTGTACAGTTGAATTTTATTAAATATATTTCCAGTAACTCTGAAATTTAGGAAATTCAGATTTTAAAATTTCTTTGTAGGTTGATAGTAGTACTGAGTCAGCAGAAGCTGCCTGTGATATACTTTCTCAGCTGGTAAATTGTTCTATCCAGACCTTGGGACTGATTTCAACAGCTAAGCCAAGTTTTATGAATGTGTCGAAGGTAAGGATATTGTGTATTTTGTGGATACATACTAAAATTCTTAAATATTGCCAAACTCGGTGAAAAATAATTCTTTACCTAAAGACAGACCACATCCTACTTCTAAAAGATACACAGGATGCCCTATTCAGAATCCCTGAAAAAATGGGGAATTTGGCATTGGGATAATAGAATAATAGAAATAATCAGATGAAAACTTATTGGTTCTGCATAGGTATTTCCTTGTTTATGATCTATAGAATCAGATTAGTCTGAAATGCTTCTTCAAAAGCTGCTGTTGCACATCAGCTTCCAGGGCCAGCTTCTAGGTGAGCTGATGCAGTCACCAGAGCAGACACCAAAAATTAAACTTCAGTTTAAAGTGAGTTTTGTGACTGCTGTCAAGGTTGAGGATCTCCATGATATCTGGGTGCTTTTTGCTGGCAAACTAAGGAAAAATAAAATAAAATTGCAGCATTTTACTAAGCATAAAAGTGCTAAACAAATACATTGTTGTTATAGTGATATATGGACTCTAAACAGCCTTTTAGACTAAAGTAGCTAATTAAGAGTTGATTAAGGGAAAAATGAACCTCATATTTCTTAAAAAATAGTGGTATGTTTATATTTCTCTAATAATTTGACACCATAAAATCTAGTAGAGGCCTCGCCCAGCTCCCTCTGAAAATTTGTGTGAACCAATTTATAATCAGTGTTTGCTTACAAATGAATTTGCATTTTCAGCCAGTTTGGTCAACCTAATAGGAACAATAAAATCATTAGTAGGTTCTATTAATGTTGCAAATTGATTTTAAAAAAGGAAAAGTGATCATGCCTGAATTTGAGTTCCAAACTTTCTATCTTTACCAGAAAACAGTGCATCTGAAACCTTGTGGAATTGTTTTCATTTTGAAAACTATAAATAAAATTTAATTTATAAATCTTTAAGACATTTAAAGGTTTGGAATTACTTTGTTTAAATAATTTGTTAGGAAGACCGTGTCAGTGAAGAGTGTGTCATCCATCTAACCATTCATTTTCTTAACAACTGTTTATTGACCATCTATTATATGTCACATACTATTTTAGGTCTTGAAATATGGAAGTGTAGAAAACATAAAATTTCTATTTCTTTAGGGCAGGGGTTGAAAAGGTCCAAAGAATAAATATTTCAGGCTTTGAGGGCCATATAGTTCTGCCTCAGACACTCAGCTCCGGTATGGCAGTGTAAGGCCAACACAGACAGTACATAATGAAGGGGCAGGACTGCGTGCCAGGCAGACTTTATCCATGTACACTGAAATCTGAGTTTCATGTAGTTTTCACATTACAAAGTAATTTTTTCAATCTTTTAAAAACATAAAACTATTCTTAAGTCACAAATCATAGAAAGACTGTGGGCTGAATTTAGTGGTCCATAATTTGATAACTCCTACTCTAGGAAATTAATATAATTGTATCTGTTTAATATTGAACACCAAATTCTTAAGGTTGAAAATAACAACAGCAAAGCCTGTTCTATGAAATTTTTGAAATTTCTCCCTTTCTCACCATTTCATTTGCTAATTATGAAAATATAAATATACATTTTGTTATAATGAAAATTTCTTCTACTAGTTAATGGTACTGTGAATAATAGTAATATGTGATTGTTTGCATTTGTTGACATAGCTTTAATGAATTATTTGATTTGAAGCTGTAGACTTTTAAATAATGTTTTCATAAATTTTTTCTTATGCCCTGCCAGGCTCATTTTGTCTCAGCACTTACAGTTGTGTTTGTCAATTCAAAATCATTATCATCAATCAAAATCGAAGACACACCAGTGGATGATCCTTCATTGAAGATTCTTGTTGCCAATAACAGTGATACTCTAAGACTCCTAAAAATGAGTAGCTGTCCTCATGTTTCATCTGATGGTAGTTTATATTTTTTATAAATAAAATTATGTTTTATCATAGTAATGATAACAGTATAATTTCTTATTGAAAATTATAGGCTTATGAAACCTAACTCATTAATTTTATTCAAATAAGTCAATCTGTAAGCTGGATATAGTTTAAATTGCTTATCCTGAGAATATTTTAATTACATTATATATTCAAACACATGAATATAGACTGTATTATATGTATAATCCTGTTTCTTGGCAACCATCTCGGAAATCGTTAGGTATCTGTTGTGTAGCAAATAGTAAATACTATCAAATTTAAGTTTACAAAGCATTATGTTAGTATCAATATGATTATTTGTTCTTAAGAATTTTTCCCCATTTTCCACAGGAATCCTTTGTGTAGCTGACCATTGTCAAGGCCTTAAAGAGCTGGCGCTGAATTATTACATTCTAAGTGATGAACTTCTCCTGGCACTTTCGAGCGAGACTCATGTTAACCTTGAGCATCTTCGAATTGATGTTGTAAGTGAAAACCCTGGACAGATTGAATTTCATCCTATTAAAAAGCACAGTTGGGATGCACTTATTAAACACTCCCCTGGAGTTAATGTTGTTATGTACTTCTTTTTATATGAAGAAGAATTTGAGCCGTTCTTCAAAGAAGAAACCCCAGTTACTCACCTTTATTTTGGTCGTTCAGTAAGCAAAGCTACTCTAGGACAGATAGGTCTTAACTGCCCACGACTAATTGAGTTAGTGGTGTGTGCTAATGGTCTTCAGCCTCTTGATAATGAGCTTATCTGTATTGCCCAACACTGTAAAAATTTAACAGCTTTGGGCCTCAGTGAGTGTGAAGTTAGCTGCAGTGCATTCGTTGAGTTTGTCAGACTCTGTGGGAGAAGACTAACCCAGCTCTCTATCATGGAGGAAGTTCTGATCCCTGATGACAATTATAGCCTCGATGACGTTCATACTGAAGTCTCAAAATACCTGGGGAGAGTGTGGTTCCCTGATGTGATGCCTATCTGGTGACCAACTACCAAAGATTCTGAACATTTTAAATAATCAATAAGATTAGCTGCTTTCTGTCTATGCAAATGTAAACTTTAAGATGCGTAGCCTAAATATTTTAGGTTAAATATTTTATTGTTTGCAAACTGTCTTATTGGATTGCTGCAGAATCATGTGAAAAAGTATAAGAAATGTCAGTAACCAGAAATCTTTGTCAACAGAGCATAGACACTATAGATTAGCTTGTTGATAGGCTAGGGCTAAAAACTGAATAGATTCTTCCCCTTCCTTGAAGGCATATTTTAGCTTACTAAGTAAATATATAATGTTAAACTTGTATCTCTTCAGTTATGCCTTTTACTTTACACTTCATATTGCTTTAATTGTATCTGGTTCCTCTTGGTACTAATACATTTTACAAAATATTTAGTATGAAAAATTAGAGTAAAATCAAAATATAAATACAGAAGTTTAATTTATTATATTTATAAAAATTTTAGCACTCTGTAAGATCATCTTGTGAGTCAGTAAACAACTTCTAATTTGAATTCTACTTTATATTAACTTGGAAGATAATTGGCATTAGATTAAAATTAAATAATTCTGATGCCTTTTATAATGATACTATGAAAAGAAAAAAGACATTGCGATAGTTAGTTGATTAAGTACATTTCACAGATAAAGAAGTAAGTTTTGGAGGATGTGTTAGAAGGAGAATCAGCCTGGCCTTCTGTTATGGATCTGGGATTATGCCAGCTCTTTTGCATAAGTGATCTCATAATTTAATTAACAGCACAGTTAAAACTCTTCATTGTCTTTAGGATGAAGATGTAGCCTTAAAATGACCTACACCATGTGGCTCCTCCCCACTTCTTTTGTCTTATCTCCCACCATGCTGCCCCTGATCCTTCTGCCATTTTCTTAGTTCCTTTAATTGTCCTCTGTCCTCCAGGCACAAGATGTCTGCACATCTTCTGTCCACCTGGCTTACCCTCTGCTCCCCCAGATCTTTCTTTAATGTTACTTCCTCACAGAAGCCTTCCTTAACACTTGGCCCATTCTCCATGCCCGTAGGTCAGGTCCAGGTTGGGGATGCCCTCACACTTCTGTGGTTCTTCTTAGCAGCATTTATCAGTGTCATTTACCATTTACTTGTCTGACTATTACACATTTATTACATAGCACTGGGAACTCCATCAGTGTAAGACCACTGTATTTTTTTTTTCCTTACTGTTATATCCCAGCATCTGGCGTACTAGCTAGCACATAGTAGACTCTCAATAAACTTTACTTAAGTACTTTTCTTTTTCAAATTTGTTTCCCTGCTTTCTATCCCCAGTGTCTTTAAGTTTCTAAGAAATTGATTAAACTTAAAAAAAAGAAAATTAAATGTTTACCAGATATTTACATTTGAATATCTTTAATTATAAAAATTTAAATATTCTTGCCTATTTAGCAATTAGAATGCATTTGTGGTTTGTAAATGGTGGTTTTTAAAAGTAGTATGTTTATATTCCTTAATTTAGGACTTTTCTTATACTCTCATCATTATTACACAGTCTGCCTTGCTGTGAACTCTCTAAAGGGCAGGCATCTCATATTCACCCCTCTCTCAGGATAGTGGGTGCTATGTTAGTGAGTGATTGATCAGTAAGTGTCAGTGGAACTGAGTTTAGTGGTTAAAAAATAAAACCAAATTGGGTATGTGGTGGTGTATGCCTGTAAGTGGCACAGGAGGCTGAGGCAGAATGATCACAAGTTCAAAGCTAGCCTCAGCAGTTTAGCCAGGCCCTAAGCAACTTAGAAGACTCTGTCTCAAAATAAAAAATAAAAGGCTGGGGATATGGTTCAGTTGCTAAACAATCCTGGGCTCAATTCCTGGTACCAAAAATATAAAAAATAAAACCAATTTCTTGAAAACAGTGTTATTATTACAGATCGTCTTTCTATAACTTAAGATTTCCAGAAAGTACAGAAGCAGCCAATAATAGGAAACTTAGAACCTGATCAGGGTAACAGAACCACAAAAGAAGTAGCTTTAGGACTGGGAATGTGGCTCAGTGGTATAGCATTTGCCTGGATACTAGAGACCCCTAGCATGGAAGGAAGGGAGGGAGAGAGGGAAGGAAGCAGGCAGAAGGAAGAAGGGCTTGACTAGGATGGAGTTAGTGATCAGAGTAATGGTGGATACTGCAGCGATAAACCTCTGGTCTCACCTTGTATTGCTTTAACATGTCATACTGGAAGAGGGTTGAGAGAATACTGTAGGTATGGTGAGGTTATATGGTAGCTAAGGAAGCAAACAGAGGTATTAGAGGAGAGTGGTCAAGCACAGAGATAAGGAGTACCATTGACTTATTCACATGTGATGAGAAGTTATGCCCTAACTGGAGCTTTTCAGGGGCCTGCTGGTGAGCCTTGTGAACTAAGCACTCTAACGAACCTCAGAGCAAAACTCAAAAAGAGATATCTAAGTTCACCAACTCATATCAATTCCCCTGATTGATCCAGTTTACTGAGTGAATATAAATGGAAAAGAAAAAGATTTTAAGATAGCCCAAAACAAGGCCAGAAAGTATAAATTTTAATGCTTTACCTAATGAAAGCATTCCATATGTTTTGGAAGTCTATGAAAAGTTGTTTATCTAAGATTAGAGAATTCTAGATAAATGATAAGTTTATTATTAGATTTCAAACTTTAGTCTTTGAAAAACATTTAGTCCTGTAAGCATACTTGTTCATGTTAAAAATATTTCTTTGCATTTGTTAGAGAATTTTAGAATCATTTGGATGATTTTGTGGGCAAGAAAGTAAATGGAGAGAATGGGGGTTCTTTTTGTGTTTTCTTTTCCTACCTTGTGGACATTTGTTTCATTGGTATTGTATAAAATAACAGAGAAATGAGTCAATAGGCAGGCAAATTTTTTAAGTGTATCTGTATTGCTTTTGAGCCAAAAAGTATGATAAACATCATCTAAAGGATGTGAGAATTCTATCTGTAGGCCTGTCCTTTATAAACTGATCACTTAGGTATATGCCTACCCATGTTTATAGCAGCACAGTTCAGCTAGCCAAACTATGGAACCAGCCTAGGTTTCCATCAACAGATGAATGGATTAAAAAATGTATATATAAGCAATGGGGTTTTATTCAGCCGTAAAGAAAAATGAATTTATGTCACTTGCAGGAAAATGGGTGGAACGTGAGAATATTATGTTGAGAAATAAGCCAAACTCAAAAAGGTCAAGGAGCATATGTTTTATATGTGGAAACTAGAGAGGAAAAAGGAAAAGAAAGGTAGAGGGAAGAGAGTGATGCTGGGCAAATTATATTGTTATATTTTGTACATGTATGAATATGTAACCAAAAAATCCATCATTATGTACAACTATAATGCACCAATAAAAAACATGGAAAAAATGGAAACAAAAAACAAGATGTGGGTATATGGTTTTTGAATTAAGGTGATATTTTTCTTGGATGGGAAGTGACCGGAGGAGAGAAAAAGGGGCTCCTGGGATGGTGATAATGTTTTATTTTTCACTGGGGGTTATGGTACATTCATGGTCATCAAAATTCATTAACTTATTGCTCTATGTACACTATACTTCAATAAAAAGTTTACTTAAATGCCAAAAATAAATAACTGAATAAATTGATCACTTATTCTATTTAATTAATTTTGTACAGCTCACTCAAAACATTTTTAAATAAAAATTTATCTTATTCACCTTATGAATCTGTAGTATTTGACACCAGTTTTTGAAGTATTTATTATAGTCGCTTTTACTAAGGAAAATTAAGTTATTCAGTACTACTACTCCACTGTCATTTGAACTTTAACTAAAGTTAAATAAACATTGTGACATCCAAATCAGAAAATAAGGGGATATAAACACTTTGATACAATGCACCAGAGGGCGCTGTATTCCAATTTTTCCTAAGAAAGAAATCCTTGAGTCTACAGTTTGCATTTCCACTGAACATATTTGCATGCTGGGCAGAAGGCATTCTTGCTCTACTTTGGAGAAGCAGTTTATTTCCAGGTGGGCTTGGTTTTAAAAGCAGTACCTACGTCCAGCAATGTTTTGCCTCTTCACTACCTCAGAAGGTTGATTATCTGGAAGAGTGATTATGAATTTCATGGTTCAAATATTTTAAAGGCTCTTCTAAAATTGCCTTTAAAAACTGTGTGCCATTTCCTTGTTGGTATCTTCAATAGGAGCACGAATTTTATCTTTTGGAAGAAATTTGATTTCTGGAAACAACCTAAAGTTATTGAGTACCAAGGAAATAAATAAGGGAGATCATCAAATTAGACACTACTGGATACGTTGTTTTTCTTTTCAAGCAAGAAATAAATTCTTAACTTACTGGTCTTATATTAGATGTTTTGAATGTTATAACACAGTAGAGGAAAGTATTTAACTGAATACAAGAAAGTGCTAGTTGTGTAGCATAAATTCTCAGCTATCTGAGAATCATCATTTAGGCTTCTTCCTGGCCAATTAGGAACAGGAAGTGTCCTGTTGCCTCTATAACATATCATTCATAGTAGTAAGAACCCATGAAATTACCCCCAAATGAAAAACTGCAGTATTGTTAATAACTAAAATCTATGTGATTCTCCTATACCTAGTCCTAAGGTAATTAGTGTTCATTATATTTTTGCTTTCCTTTTTAATTTACTACCTCTCTATGTGTTCTTAGAAATTTTGTTTTGATTTTGTTTTGACTTAATAAAAACCATACCATGCTTTGTGATTTTTTTGACTTCTCAAAATTGTTACTTCTATAATTCATCTATTTTGTTAATTGGTGTTATTTATTATGATTATTATATTTTATTCTGTAGCTGTCACAGTTTTTTAAAAAAAAAATCTCTTTCACTGTTGAAGGGCATTTGGACTGTTTTGGATTTTGCTCTGACAAATAGTGATATCTTGAACATTCTAACATATAGACCTAGTACACAAATGGAGTGATTTCTCCAGAGATAAGGTTCAATTAATTATTTTTTCCTCTAACATTTCTACATGTAATACTGGAATTATTCTACTGGAGTTTTCTATATTTCAAAAAAAAATTTTAACAAAAATCTATGAAGAAAGTTTCCAAAATGATTAATGCAATTCCACATCTCATATTGACTAATTTACTTCTAGGGAGCCAGAATTACATTTGGTCCTTTGGACATTTGTATGATACTGTTTCCTCTTTGTACTTCACAACATAACTGAGGTAGAATAATAGATATATAATAATATAATTATACATAGTAACATGTAAATAAGTAGATGTGACAGATAAGGCATGTGACTCGATAAGGCCAACTGACCATAAGATGCTTCAGATAAAGGCTTTCATCTCTCTTGTATAGTACTCTCTGAAGTGCAGCTTCACTGACACCTAGAATGTTTCTTTCTGGAATATGCCATTGTCTATTACCTGGGAAATATGTTACTTATAGCATGGAAAAGCATGGATGTGAACCTGCATATCCTTTCTTACATGTATAAGCAGCTTTCCCTGTACCAAGTTTGATACGCCTAAGGGTACTGCTGAAATCTTTATTACCTCAACTCAAAAGAAGCCTCCAATTTATTCAACTAATATTTATTAAGCATATACCACAGCTAGCATCATAAGCTACTCTTCATTCTTATGCCATAGAAAGACCTTCAGGCTCATTCTCACTTTTCACACAGAAGAGAGTCTAGTTTCAAAGGTGTCAAAAAATACAGTGAAAACTGCTTGAATTCACTTTTTTATCCTAGGTCTTCAGGATGGAGAAGCCTAAACCACCCAAGATCCTGAAGATTACAGAAAGATCAGAGAGCCCCCCAGAAATTAGTTCATACCCAAACATCAAAGTAACTGAGTCAAAATCAAAATTGTTTTCTTTCTTGCATTTATCATGTTTCTGATTGAACACATATTTCTTGAGAAGCAAGATATGCATCCAGGTTTTTCAGAAGATGGCTTTCTATTTAGAAGATCTGTCTTTGTCTTCTGCTTACAGGTATGCAGTAGGATCACTTAAGTCACAGTTTTCAATGTGTATGTGTGACTGTATGCCAGGATGAACTTTCTGCAGGGGCAAAAGAGTTCCCAGTTTTTCTCCCTTCTTGATAGAACCTTTGTACTTAATTGGCTTAATATAGAAAATTTTGACACAGAAACCTAAAAGAAAATAAGTATAGTTATTATCTGGACTTCAATAGCCTTGAGTCAGACATTTTAAACATAAGAACAGAAATGGACAAATGACTTCCAAAAAGAAACACAGTTGAATGAACTTGGGAGGAATAGAAGAAAATGACAATTCTGTAAAAAGACTAAAATTACAATATGCAAAAAGGAGAATAGACTCAAATGAACTCTAATTGAGGTATTGAAGAACAGTAGCAGGAGAACATGAGGTAGTGGGAAATTGACCCCAAACAGTATTATTCCAAGGCATATTCTGATAAAATTATTAGACTTCAAAAATAAAAATGGTTATGGAATAAAAATATAGACTTCTAAATATCAAAAAAAAAAAAACTTAACAAAAGAACTACCAAGTAGAGAAATAGTATAATGCAATATTTATAAAACAATATGACAGTGTTGAGATTAAATATATAAGTCATATCTGTAAGTGTGAATGGGCTTGTCTGTTTAATACATTTCCTATTAGCTTGAAAAGTAAAACCAAATTCTATGCTGTGTGAAATAAAACAAGAATAGAAAAAGCTAAAAATAAAGTACTGGACAAAGATTCACTAAGCAAATGGAAGCAACAAGAAAGCAAGAATTATGTTCCTATTACCAGAGAGTAGAATTCAAGCCAAGAAGCACTGAAACAAGACTAGAGAGAATAGTGTAATTTGGTAATGGCCAGGGGTTCATAAGTAAGATACAAACATTCATGTGTTAAGTAACTCAGAAATCGTCTATATGAAGCAAAGACTACAGATATGCAAGGAAAAATAGAAATACACTAATAAAGGCAGACTTGAACATATTACTCTGTTAAGTGCAACTGGGCCAAAATGGGCCAAGAAGAAAAAAAAAAAAGGCTATATAGAATTTTGTTATTCAATATGGTAGCCACTAGCTACTTGTGGCTATTCAGCATTGGCCATGTAGCTAGTCTGAATTAAGATGGGCTTCAGCATAAAATACACAATGCATTTGGAAGATTTAGTATACAAAATTACTCTCTTTCACTGAAGGGGCTCTGGGACTGAACTGGCTCAAGTCTGGGAACTGGCTGGAGATTGTAACCCACTATTGTGATGATTAAAGTCAGAATTTTGATCATGAGATCTAGATATTTTCTCAAAAAGAGCAAGATTCCAATAGGCTGCCCATCCATTCAGTTCTGGTGTTACCATGATAAATGAGCCAATACCACAAATCTCTGAGGTTCAGATGAATCTGAATTACTGCTTCATCACTGCTGCCTGTTAGGTGACCATGCTGACTACTGTGGCTCTTAAGTGCCACCTCTTCAGAGAACCCAGTTTTATGGCAACTGCTTCTGCTGTCATTTGGGGCCTGCAGAGGACAGCCACCAAACAGCTCCTCAAAGATGTGGTTCCCTCACAACCTTGGTGAGAGAATATCCTCTGATCTCACCTGCAGTAGGAATGCATATGTATATTCATTAAAAGGTACAAGAAAGTTCCTAGCAGTATTTTCTCAATCACCTAGAACTGAAAAATACCCAAATGCCCATCTAAAGAATAGCTGAGAAGCTACAAGTATATGCACATAATGGAATGCCACTCATGAGGAAGAGTGAACGTGGATTTAAACAGAGCATCATCACAAGTATGATGTGGAATGGAAGAAACCCCACAGGAAACAGTGCATTCTGTTTAATTCTATGTTCCCCACACCACCCACCCCTGTACTGGGGATTGAACCCAGAGGCCCTCCACTACTGACCTGCAGCCCAACCCTTTATTATTTTTTATTTTGAAACAATGTCTTGCTAAGTTATCTATGCTGGCCTTGAACTTGGGATCCTTCTATCTCAACCTCTAGGGTAGCTATTTATACAATCTTCTAAAATAGCAAAACTAGAAGCCAGGGTAGCAATTGTCCTCTCTGGGAGCAGTAACTGAGCAATAGCTAACACAGGGGTTTTGGGGAGACTGGACAAGTTCTGTCTTGATGTAATACAAGTTTGCAACAATTCACGGAACTGTATGTTTGTGTATTTTGCACCTTTTTGCATGTATATTATACTTTGAAAGAATTAAAAAACAAATCCAATGTCTGGAGTACCAGTAGACCTGCTTTACCTAGAACTTATAAAAGCCTCTGGAAATATTTCACATTAAAATCTTTCAGAAATGTCAACTTTTAAAAATACTGGTAAATAAAAGTTTCTATCCATTATGATTAATAGATTTTTTTTAAAGCAAAACTACTTAAGCCACAGAAAGAAACCCCTTCAATGAGCTATAGAGTTTGGTGGAATGTGTGCATAAAGCAGAAGCTTTGGGGGAAGGTACTAGAACACTTTTGAAATGCATCAGCTGTTTTGGTTTGTTATATCCTTTATGTCCTAGGTTTTATAATTTTGAAATAAGTACAAAACTAGTATGTATGAAACCTACATTAAGTAAATAAGCATCGGTAGGGGTCCCAGGTCTGTGCATCACCCTCTTACCTCTTCCAGAGAGCCGAACACCATTATTAATGGCATTTTTGTTTTTGTAAGGTTTCTCCTGGCCCATGATCATTCCAGTGAATGGTGCATACACGGTAGATCCATCAGAACACAGGACATCCACGCCCTGATGAGGTCTCTGATTTCTAGGATATAAAGAAGGTCCAGCAGATTGAGTAGCTGCCCTAGGATACTATTGCCCACGAACATGGTTTCAGCCCACTATTCCCAGTCTAGGGTATCTAAAATTGAAGCTGCCAAAACATGTTGGGATGTTCTAGGATTCCTCACTCTGTTTAGCCAAATTTTAACCTCTCTCCCTGTAGGTCATAATAACCATGATGTAAAGATTAAAGCATTTAAAATAGTACTTGATACATGGTGAGTCTTAAACAAATATTAGCTATTATTATTATATGGCATTTTAGGGAAATGAGACAGTACATGTAAATAAGTTTTATGGCTTGACCTCTTCAAGACCATTTAGAAAAGAGTTGTCTTTTTATGAGAACTTATCATAAAAATATCACATGTTACCCTAGTCTTATTTCTCTCTCAGTGACAAGTCATGGTAAACATCATTTATTGCACGTGGTATTTTAATGCCGTGACTGATGGCTCCTGGGTTTGTTAAACTGCGTGGAGCACAAACACAAAATGATTCCAGATTGTGAGGTTGCTTGAGTCTGTCTCTAGCAAGCCCTCAGCTCGGGCTTGCCACTGTTCTCACTATGCCTGCTCCCTCCAGGCTCCTCTCCTTTCAATAGATCACTGCCAAGCAATTAGATTCACCAGAATTGTTAGAATTATCTGTAAAGTAACATTGATCCAAGTGAAGAACCAAGAAGTTGTTGTGGTATAGGTCCAGTATGTATAAACTTTAGAATTAAGTTAAGATTTTAACTGAATCCTCATTTTGGCAATCCAGAGGCCATTTTCCCATATTTCCCATATTAGCCCTATCTCAGGTATTTGAGGTTGCTTTGTAATTAGCATCTGAAAAAGTGAGAGTTGCGCTTCAAGTAGGATGGAGATCACAAATACAACTGGACACATGGCTATTACCTCAGACAGTGCCACCTCTTCCCAGGTAGTATGTGTTATTGAACATTCATGAGTTCACAAACAGCACAGCTCAGTTTCTCGTTGTCTGGAATGGATTGAGACACTTTCTTACCTGCTTGGGATCAGCCTCTAACATTCAAATTCCAGAGCCTGAGTCAGTTATAATGGACTTGGTGGAAAAGAATCCAAAAGCTTGAATTCAGGCAGAACCTTCACCATCTCCAACTGGATTTGATGGGACTAACACTTTGGTACCTCAGTTCAAGTTCCTTATCTTTAAAATACAATGTTTGATTTTCACCCTTGGGAAGCCAGGTGAGAAAAATCAATGTGTAGAGAGGTTGAGAGGGAAACATTGTGTTTATTCCCTTCTCTTTTTCTTATTTTGTAATCTTTCCCCCATTCAAAACCCTTACTTAAAGCAGAGTTCTTAGAAGTTGCTCCAAAGACCGTCGTGTTACACACACGTCTCTGGGTTTTTAGACTGCCTGAAGGGGGATACTCATGAGCCCTCAAGGAAACATGGGAAAGGACACTAAGAAAAGAGGTGAGTAGCTAGAGACTGGTGGGTATTTTCAAACCCCATACCTTTGAGCAGAGTACTGTCCACAGCCGTGGCTGTCACATGTCCGGATCTCGTTGGAATGCTTGCCTGCACATATGTTAGCCCATGGCCCAGCCAGTGCTGAAAAGGAGAACCACGAAAGCCTTAGATCTCCCCAGACTCCATTTGCCTATGGCCTCCCAGGGATGCTAAGAAGTCTTTTTCACTACACTTTTTGCCTAACTTTCTGTGGTTTCTGGGAGACTCTTTCTTACAGAATTTTGTGTCCTGATTCATATGTAAAACTGACTTTTTCTGTAGCCACAGAATTCTGTTATGTGGCACATAAAGTGTTTATTTATGTATAAGCTTCATCATTATAACTTGTTTCAAATTATTCACTAATAGATGGTGTAAATTGTACTTTTCAAATTTTTTTTGCTAATTACCTGGCATGGGGACCACTATGTTTAAGTTAAGTAAAAACAAGCAAACAACATAGCTCAAAGAACCAGCTTCAGAAATTCTAAAAGAACTTTGAAATGCTGCTTTATGGTTTGTTCTAATAATCAAATCCAAGCAAATGTTTGAATTAAGGGAAAAACATACTTGAACGAGCCAAATTTATTCAACACTAAATAAATCTGTCATATTTGTGGACATGGAAGAAGAAGATTCTAGAAATAATCTAAAATGTCAAAGCAATTTCATCTAGAGGGAGGTCAGAAGAGAGGGAGGGGCGGGAATAAAAGCAACTCTATGAAAAGTTATGAGGAAGAAAAACATGGAATTTTCTTTCTCAGTGTACTTTGTGCAAACTTTAAGTGCAACTTGTCTCTTAGTAAGCACTTGATAAATTGCCAATTGAATTAAATTTCCTGATTTTTTAATATTAGCATTCACAGAACTGAGTTAGCAAACTCAGCCTTTCACTTTGAAACTAACAAAAGCAGAAGCAAAAACAAGAACCTGTAAATTTGATGATTGATTTTTCTTTAAAGACATTTTACTCCACACTAGGAAAAGAAGCTACAGAATATTGTCAGTAAGTGTTTTCTTTAATATACTTTTAAAACATAGACATCAGAAGTCTTCCACCTTGGAGGTAAAGCTTCAAATCAACACCCTGATCCAGATATATAATACCATTACTTCTGCAACTAGTATTTATCCTTCGGAATTGAGACATATAGTAGACAATTATTAATCTGTTCATTTTTCTTTCTTGCTATGAACATTAAGGGTGCATTGCTTTTGTACCAATCCACACCAGTCTTTATATCAGGAATTTTCTAAATCCAGTTCTTAAACTTTTCATTTTCTGTTTTGTCCCAATTAAATCATAGATCAAGTTTGAAAGGCTTTTCTGAAAGTCTTTCCACTCCCACTGTAGTTTTCCTTCATTAAAGAACCAGAACATTGGGCTGGGGTTGTGGCTCAGTAGCAGAGCGCTTGCCTATATAAGGCACTGGGTTTGATCCTCAGCACCATATATAAATAAATAAAATAAAGTTACATCAACAACAAAGAAAGAAAGAAAGAACTAGAACATTAGAGATCATCAACCCCCCCAAAAAAACATCTATTTTTCCTATCCCACTTTTAGTAACTAATACATAAGTTTCTTTTGCAATTGTGCTACTAATGACTTTTAAATCTGCCCAGGAAATAAGTTTTTAAAAATTAGCCAAAGTTCTAAAAATTGTACTTTCAACTTACCAGTGGAAATCAAAGCCGCTGAAAGGAGGACCCTTGTGGAAAACATCTGGCTTTTGCTTCCCTTATGTTTCTTCCTCTAATTAGAATTGCCCCCACGCTCTCTTTGAAGAATATTCAAGTTTGAATGAATATTTTCGGCCTCTTTAGTCTTATAATTCTGTCTCTCTGATTTCTTTTAATTTGGTGTGAGACACAGAAAATAGAATGGAACAAACCAACTTCTAATATCCCATGGATAGTGATTTGACATGTAGGACCATATAAAAGCCTTTGATCTGAAGAAGCAGCCAGCTTTATTGGAAATACTGACTAAATATTAACAGGAAATGATAAGACTAGGTGCAGATTGATGGTCTTTGTGGCTGTGGTTGGGAAGAGAATATATATGTGAATAATAGCATATTTACTACTATCTGTAAATCTTTTATTCATTTCTTGAGTAGCACATATTTCAGAAGAGAATTGATCATTAATAATGTATGACCCTTCATAACATATTCTTCCATATATCCCTTAGGGTTTTTTTTTATTAAGATGTCAGTTAGATTTCATCTGTGTAATAGATGGATACAACATGCATAGCATCCATCAGTAGGAGAAAAGATATATGAACTATGGTAGAGTCATATAATGGAGTGTACCAGTTTAAATAAAGACAATCTCTATGTATTAGCACAGTTATATCTCTAAATGTACAACTGAATTAAACAGTTGTTTTAGTAGTATGTATACATATTGTATTCTGACATTTATTCCAATAGCAAAGTTTTAATATTCATGAATATCGCATATACTGTAAATAAACAAAAAAGGAGAGAAATGAAACTGTGGAGAATATACAGAGTATTTAAACTCTAAAATATTTTATTTTTGAAAAAAGATCAGAAGCAAATATGGGAAAATATTAATTTGTTAATTATTGAAGACAGATACATAGATGTTGAGTTCTCTTTGTACTTTTCTGTGCACTTCAGTGTTCTGTATGTTTCAAATATACCTTAGCAGCCCTTTTCAATCCTTATAAGTAGATGAGACCTAGAATCTTCTGTGGAAACATTCTCATTTAAGTAAATATTTTGCTGTAGAAGGTTGGGACTGTGGCCCCAAATCTTCACCCTCTCTGCATCCTCACCCTTGCTGTGTCTCATCAGGGTGAGAGGGGATGTTCTCAACCCTGGATTTTAGGTCAGCAATGTGTCTTTAACCAGTAAAGTGGAACAGAGGTGAGAGCACATTCGTAGGCCTGGGCCCTGATGGCCTTTGTCCTCACACTCACCTTCTTGTGTTCTGCCATTGCTGCGAGGAGCACATTCCCAGCCCAACCTGCTGCCCTGAGAACAAGACCAAAGCCACATGAAGCAGGGCCACCCAGTGAGCCAGCCCAGCACAGCCCATAAAAGTGTGAGCGATAACTATGGTCGTGCGATGCCGCTGAGGCTGGGATGGTGGGCTATGCAACACTAGCCAACAGTGCCAGTTAGAGTGTGCACCACCCAGGACTTCAATCACCCTTCACGGCTTATAATGTGGACAGTGCAGAATATCAACACATTGAATGTCACAGAACTGAGTCACTGTACTGAAAAAAAGCATAAATTATGGGAATAAAATGGTATTCAGAGACAGACACAGATGCACACAGTATGTAGTACAGGATAAAAGTACCACTTCGGACTATTAGGGAGAAGCTAAGTGATCCATAAATATTATTGAGATAAAATCTGGCAAGATGTAAAATCTTGATTCATCCATCAAAGTGAACCAAACGTTTCTCTCTTTTTTTCAAGATAGAAAAGTTGAATTTGTATGTAACAAAAATTAACATATTTAAATATACTTCTCACACTAATTTACATGAAAAATACCAAGGTCCAAAGATGATGAAATTATCATGATAGAATATTTACAAAATAAAATTGGTTAATAAACACAAAAATAACTTTTCAAGGTCAAAGGAAGTAGAAAAACCAGCAACACAAACTAAGTTTCACATGTCAAATTGAAAGTGTTTTTTAAAAATCAATCACAAGATGGTAACATTGATGGAAGGTGGGTGATAAACATAAAGAATCACAATGTTATATAACTCAGCATTAAAAGAATAAAATTATGGCATTTGCAGGTAAATGGATGGAGTTGGAGAACATCATGCTAAGTGAAATAAGCCAATTTCAAAAAACTAAAGGCTGTTTTCTCTGATAAGTGGATACTGACCCATAATGTGGTAGAGGAAATTTGATTAGGCAAAGGGGAAGGAAGGAAGAGGAGGGGACATGGGGGCAGGAAAGATGGTGGAATGAGATGAACATAATTACCCTAGATACATGTATGACTGCACATGTGTTATGACTCTACATCGTGTGCAACCGGAGAAATGAAAAGTTGTGCTCCATTTGTGTGTAATGAATCGAAATGTATTCTGCTATCATGTATAACTAATTAGAACAAATAAAAATGCAATTTAATTTTAAAAAAGAATTCTTGGTTTATCAACTTTTCTATAAGTGTAAAATTATGAACCGAACACTTCTATGTGTAGACACACAAAGAAGAAGGAGAGGAAGGAGAAGAAGAAGGGGGCAGAGAAAGAGGAGGAGGAGAAAGAAAAGAGGGAGAGAGGGAGGAGTGAAGGGAGGGAGAGAGGAAGGAAAGAAGAAAGGGAGGGAAACCTTATATTAAGAAATTCACAAATTTTGAATGAAAGATTTTTAATGGTCTTGGAATAGGTTAGGCCTTTCAAAGAATGTCCAACCTCCTAGAAGCTATAAAAGAACCATTTGCTAATGTATTGTAGTTAATAAAATTAAAAAACAAAACAAACAAACAAAAAAACTTCTTCAAGGCAAACAGTTTTCTACTCAGAGTCAAAAAAGATAATGGGCGCGGTAGTGCACACCTGTGATCCCAGCAGCTCCAGAGGCTAAGGCAGGAGGATTACAAGTTCAAAGCCAGCCTCAGCATCTTAGTGAGACTTGTCTCTAAATCAAATGCAAAATAGGGCTGAGGATGTGTCCTCAGTGGTTGAGTGCCCCTGAGTTCAATCCCTGGTACCAAAATAATAATAATAATAATAATAATAATAATAATAATAATAATCTGTGAAAAATACCTCTAACACATATGACATAACCGATGAAGTACTCATCTCCCTTAGATACTGAGAATTCTTAAGAAGTAAAAGAAGTGCTGGACTTGATGGTACATGCCTTTCATGTCTGTCATTCTAGCTACTTGGGAGGCTGAGGCAGGAGAACTGCAAGTTCAAGGCCAACCTCAGCAAATCAGCAAAGCCCTGTCACAAAAAGTAAAAGGGCTCCATGTGAGCTTAGTGGTAGAATGCCTCTGGGTTCAATCTCCAGTACTAAAGCAGAAAAGTCAAAGACATAAGGAAGCTGATAGAAAAATAAGCAAATGATATCAGTAGACTTTCATAGAAGAAGAAATACAACTTACCAAGAAGCATTTGAAAATATGTTCTACTTCACTTATAATGAATAGTCATAAGCCAGAATGAGGCACAGTTTTTCACCTATCAAAGTGACAAAGCAAGCATTTTTGGAAATAGGCAAACTTATTGATAGTATAAGTTGGATAGGCAGCCATGTATCTGGTCAATTGTTTTTCTTATTTCAGTTATATCTCTCTGCTAAGCCATCGGCCAAGAAAGCATTTACTTTTCCTCTCTTAAGGCTAATTGTGTCATTTTGTTTTTAATTTCTCTATAGGTTTTTAAGGAGTAGTTATATTGAGTGTTATGATATAAGTGACACATTCTTATTACAAAAATTACACCAAAATGCAGAAAAATATAAAGCAAATCACCATTACCATTATGTATATGTATATATACCTCACACAAATTTGCAAGAAAAGCAGATAGATAGATAGAGATATAAATATAGATCTATTTCTCTTTAACTTGTCTCTCAGGGTATCAGTATTTTACTAAACGTGTGCTGACTTCAATTAGAGCATAGCACTAAAAGTAAAATGCAGGAAAAAACTAAAGTCTTTTTTTAACAGACTACTAAATAGCAGAAGAGTAAAGTATTGGGCATGTCTGGAGCTTCCATTTGACATATTTACATAAAACCATTTTGGTTTTACTTAACTGTGGGAATAATATGTGAGAGGGTATGGAAATCCCAATCTTTGATCTCTAGGATCTTTGATCTAGCCTTTGTGAAAAGGATGGGGTCAATGTGCTTTGCAAAGGGTTATTGGCCTGGGTGACCTGACCAAACACACCTGGCTCCCTCCCTTTCTCCTCTTCCTGGGGTTCATGGGGAAGAACCTACCTAGAAACAGTAGGCTGTGTTAAGTCCCTGACTTACTAACCAAATGCATTCAGAAACCATAAATAAGGCCAGAACCACTCTACTAAAGTTGCATAATGATGGTTAGAGAGAAAAGATGTTATAATGCACAAGTTTTGGCTAGTGGGAGCCTTAGCTCAGTCATCATCCCTGGTTTAGTATCTTCCATCCCTGATTTGAAAACATGTAAATCATTCGTCTACCTGGCCCACTCTGCATCCTGCTACAAACACAAACCATCAGCTGAGAGAGAGAATGGAAATAATTAAAAATATGAAACATAGGTCATCAACATTCTTGGAGATGAAAGAGAGGATTTGATTACAAAAAAAAATTTTTACATAGGGAATAGACTCATTCCTATGTTTTCTAATATATGGGGTTGTTGACTTATTCTAGAATCTAAAGAAGCTTTTTTTTTTTTTTCAAGCAAGCTATTTTCTTTTTTATTGATGGAATGAGTAACAGACACCAGGTTGTGACCCCTGCAGCAGAGTGGGCATTAGGTTTGATTTATTTTAAATTAAGTCATAAGCTACAGAAAGTGGACTGCTTTAGCCCTTTATAAAACATATACTGTGTATGCAGGGCAACTTTGTTCCATGTATAATGCAGACTTTAATTTGGGGAGATGTTGTTAGAGGTTTTCTGGCTAGTGACCCTGAAGGAGAGTTATCTATGTCTGGTTGGCACATATGCAGAACATGAGAATGTGATAAACCCGATCTCTCATGAATGGTGGTATCATCTGTCCAAAATAGACATTAATAATCAAGCATGGAAATCTGTCAAACTAAATGTATACATGTCCCCAGGATCTTGTACAGCACAGAACATTTCTGAAATGTTAATGTGTTGAGGTTCAAATCTACTGGCCATCTCT